ATAACAGTCCCTGCAAACATGACACATTTCTCTACTCGTATGCAGACGGTCACCGCCTGCTGTACGCAACCCTGGTATTAGTCTCTTCGTAGCCGCCACGGCTGCGACTGCGTTGTCTGCTCCTGTCCCGCCTTTGGTATCTCTCGTAGTGATCGCTCTCGCTCGATGCAGGCTCCACATATCTGTAGTGCTCGTAGCGAGGGTTCTCCGGACTGTAGTTGCGCTCGCGTTCGCGCCTAACCTCACGCTCAGTGTACACATACTCGCTGCGGCCAGGGCTAGAGGAGCGAGAGCTCATGCTGGATCGTGGAGAAACTTCGACATAGTGTGCGCCGCCGTGGTGAGAATGGGCCTGGGTATGGTGAGACGAGATGTGGCTAGGCGGTGGAGGTGGAGCCGGCATGGGCGCCGGGGGTGGTGGAGGCTGCACAAACATAGGCACAGGCTGTGGTGCGGGGATCTGGAGAGGCTTGGGTGAGGGCACCGCAACGTAGGATGCTGAAGGCCTAGGAGAAGAGTCGTGCACTATTTCGGTGCGCGAATAACGGCGCTCAATGTCGCGCGATTGACGTGAGGCGCGGCGACGGGGCGGAGAGCGGTTCCGCTGGACGACGCGGTACGGGACTACATGGTCCTCTTCCTGCTTGACTTTGACGAGACACATGGCGCCTTCACTCCCGGTATGAGACGCGGTAATGGCGAAGCCTCAAAAAGTGGGAAGCTTCGATTGCGATCGCGATGTGATTCGTGGGACGATCAACGTGGGGTTGGATCGAGGGCGGGACGAAGCGCACCACGAGGGAGTGCAAGAGGCTTCGCAACCGCAAGAGGGGCAAGAGCGAAGAGTAGATGGGCGGAAAGTGAGCGGCACCCAAGGAAGCCAACAGAGCGCATGTATATATTCCAGAGATCGGGCAGCCGATGCCCAGCCACACAGCTGACCCCCATGTCGATTCTATGCTGCTCCGCCTTGGAACTCAACATGCGAGTGTGACGATGGGGTCTGGGCTTTTCTGACAGCTGAGTACTAGCGTGCCGGTACCCTGGTTAGCCTCAGGTACGAGCCGCCATTGTCAACAAGCAGAGTAGCGTGAACAAACATCAGATTTCAATTGCCGTCTGCACTCGTAGTTATCATGCTGCATTCCACATACCACCATTAGGCATGCCGTCAAATCATTGGTCCCAGACTATGTATACAGCGTTCAAATACGCTATTCACTCCTCCACAGGTGCAGTACGACTGCCCGTCCTGCTACTCTCTTTCAGGGTCAGCCCTTGGCCAATTTCCCAGTACGTTACTTTCCAGTATACATGGGACTCTCTGGGCGGGGCGGGCGGTGTAGGCTGCCTTCTTTCACTTCCCGAAGGAAAATGCTTGCTGAAGTCTGAACCATGTCTACCACTAATCATCCATGGGCTTGTCTTCCAGCGTAACACCTCGTGGTGCTGCAGGTGTGTCTTCTAGCGTAACGCCTCTTGGTGCCGTGTCATCACTCCTCAAGCTACCGGTAGAGTCCCGGTTGCCCCTTGTCAAGCTGCCTGCATGCTTCCGTGGGAAAGGCACTCGCGTGCTTGATGGCGCTGGGTGCTCAACAGGGGCAGTAGCGGGAGCAGGAGCAGCCTCTGTTGTACCGTTCGTAGTTACAGGAGTTGTCTCGTGGGTGGGGCTATCATCACTTCCGGGTACTTCAAGCGAACCACGGTTTGTTCCGTTACTCCTCCGAGTCTCGGTGGGCGAGGATGTGTTCACCGGGAATCGAGTTTGACTTCTGTCACGGCGATGCGACCCAGAGATGCGTGAGCCAGGTGCTGGCGATGTTGCCCGTGGAGAACGCTGAGCCGCAATGGCACGCTGGCGCTCCTCCATGTTTGCTCGTCGGTTACTCTCATCTGTGGATATCGCGCGTGGACGCTGTGCGCCTGAAGATGAGTGAGTGAGCGTGCTTGCGCGCTTCAACTCCCCGAAAATCGCATCCTTGTGTGCGAAAAGGTCGCGGACGAGACGGTAGCTATAGCGCTCGTTCATTGTCAAACTCGATTCTTGCCTTGGCCTTAGAATGCATGGCGCAAGTGCATTGGCCAATGCTGCAACATAAGTCTCATCGGCAGAAGTCAGCTCAATGAGACGAGTGAAATGGGTACAGATGGCATCGAGCGTTGCGATGTTCGCGAGACGTAATTGGCCAAGAGTAGATTGAAGAACAGAGACCCGAGTCTCTTCGGACACATCTGTGGCAGTAGTGCTGTAGATAGTCTTGACGATCTCGTAAACGTGAGAAGAAACCAGTGAGTCTGATATGGTTAGCTAGCGAGTCAACAATTGAGGTTTGATACATACCAGGAAGTTCCAGAAGATAAAGCTTAAGGACACTAGCGACGATCGGTACATCATACTTCTCAAGCAGTTCGTCAGGGAATCTCTTGCCGGTGTTAATTTCAGCCCGGAGGTTGTGGGTCTGCGACAGAGGAACGTCAACAAGCCAGATGCCACGGCGGGCTTCGTCGCCTTCCAAGTCGGGATAATGGTTGTCCAGGAATGTGAGGACTGTTGTGATGAGCACCGGAACACGCTTCTTGTCTGAACGAGCCCGAGCCTCCAAGTCTACACCGAACGTTTGCTCGTCTACCGAGTTGTAGTAGTTCTCATAGGTCGTGACTCTAGGCACGAATGGTCCAGTCCTGTAGTTCTCGAGCATGTATCGGAGGTCGCCCAGGGGCTGGACTGTCTCCTGGAACAGCATCATCTTATCGACGGTGCTCTGAAGACTAGGAATGACGTTGCTAACGGCGCCGGAGAAATCCAAGATGACCGCCTTGATAGCCTTCAGCCTGTCTAGTTCACAACGTTCCATGAATTTGAGGTGATCAACCATAGCCTCTTCCAGGTTGCAGCGCAGCGAGTCAAGCTTCTTGACGGAGGCCTTGTATCGCTCGTCAGACTCGTGAGCTTCCCGTCGAAGCCTCTCTGCCGGTGTCTCGTTCGGGTACTGGTTGTTGAGTGGGTTCCATCCCTGGAGATACTCCTGAACAGTCGAGACGGGCGAGTCAACGGCGATGCTGTCGGCCGATGAAGTTGACATGGCGGTGGAAGAACGTGCCAGGGGCTGCTTCTTTTCAGGCAGTCCGGTAACCTGGAACGTCTTGGGCTTCCACTGGTAGTTCATTCGGGAGCTGTTTGCGAAAGTGTTGCCAACATTGCCGACCAAGCGCAGGAAGCCATGTGCTACGAGATCCTGACCAATGCGCTCCGCATAGCTCACGGTGGTTGCTGCCATGTGCTTTTGGATGTACTCAGTGATATCGGCACCGCTTGAGCAGTTCTGGTAGGTACCAAGGATGGGAACCTTGACCTCTGCGATCTTGATGTTGTCCAGCATGTGGGTGAGGATCTTCTTGACCTGGTCTGGCTGGTAGGTCTCGTCGCCAAGGTCGATAGGCTCTTCTTCCTCGTTCTCTGGCTCGGACATCTTGATGGTGGGCACCTTCATCTTGGGGCTCTGTGCGGCCTCGCTCTGGGGGTCCTGGAATGCCAGCTTGTCCTCCTCTTCCAAGTCCTCGACGAGCCGGCACTTGTTGTAATATTGCGATCGGTACTTGCGGACAGCATCGGCTTGTCGGTCGTGGATCTTGATGCGCGATTGAAGATCATCCTGGGAGTTTTGCACGCGGGCGGCATGCGCCTCGCACCAGCGGCCGAAGGGGTTGACTACCAGCTCTCGAATGTTGGATGCGATCTTCTTGTGGTTTGCGGCCGCTGCCTCCATCTCAGTGCGCACACCTTCGTAGGCCTGTTACCAGTTAGCGTGGAGCGGTGGCCGTGTCTCGTGGGGACGCACCTTGCGCACGCTTGCGCCCTCATCTCTGCTGAAGCCCCCGCCTATGCGATCGGTGGCTGGTGTAATTGCGGACAGACTGCTTCCATAGGCCTCCTCGGCATCAGCTCACATGCGGGCCACAGTCAGAATCTGCTGGTTTTCCTGGACTCCCTGCTGCAGCTTCCCAAAAAGAACGCCCAGGCCTGGGAGAGTCAGCCAAAGTGGGGTGGTGTTGTGTGCGGCTGCAGCTCTTACCTCCGGCATAGTCGCTCGACCAGAAGGACGCCGCGAATCCGGTCGTCATGGTGCCGTGTGTTTGCAGAGTCGCCCAAGGAGCGGCGAATGTGGGGTATCAAAAAGAAACAACGAAGTTGGGTACGGGTATGGTCGTTCAACGGCCGTAGTGAGCGCGCGGAGAAGATAAGTCTGGGGAACACGCAAGCGCAGGCCCAGTGACAGACGGAGCGGCCTGTGTGACGTCGCACCAGCGAAGAGGGGACTCGGGGTGACTCGACGGTGCAGGTGGCGTCTGGGGAATTGGAGATAAGTCGAGTAGGGCGAGACTGAGGCACGTCAGGAGGGTGTTGCAGACCGCAGCTGGGTCAGAACTGGCAGAGCTGAATGATGTCTCATGTACCCCTGCATGTGGCCGTTTGTCGTGACAGCCCTGGCACCTTTAGGCAAGCCTACCAATCTTGCGAGCTTCCGACATTTCGCCTTTAGCGGTCGATATAAATACCAACGCAATTCACCGACCCCCAAGCGCGGCCCCTGCATACGAAGTAGACTAGAGCTAGAGCCACGCGCCTGCTACCGTCTACTGTATGCATCATCGCCGTGCTAATGCTGTCGCGCCGCCAAAGTGACAAGACCACCGACTGCACTCCCCATTACATACACAGGCAGAACGCTGCGGAGCGCCGTCATCACTGCCCGACCGCCCCTGCACGTGCTCGTAGCCCTGGTTTCCCAAAGTTTCGGGTGCAGGTGCATTCAGGAGACACTCCAAAGTCTGTTCGGCGTGGAGCCTGCCTCTGCTAACCATTCATCCGTCTTACTGTACGCATACGTCGCCTTGGCCCTCCAGGTCAGCCCCGCCATCAAAATCCAAGCTTCGCAGGGGAACCGAGATCTCGCTCGGTAAACGCTCCCGGGTCCACGCAGCACGCTTCCCTTTCCATCATGGCTCCAGCTGCGTTTGATGCCAACACACAACTCAACTATGCTCGTCACATCAAGTACTGGCGGCGCAACTTGAAGACGCTGCTGCCGCACTTCTACACCAGCAATGACTCCAACCGCATGCTTTTGGCCCTTTTCACTGTGTCTGCCCTCGACATTTTGGGAGATTTAGACGCCGCTTTGTCAGCTGAGGAGCGGCAAGGCCACATTGATTGGGTCTACAGTTGCCAGCTGCCTGAAGGAGGATTCCGCCCATGGCCAGGCTCCAACTACGGCCCTCTCAGAAATGAAGAGAACAAAAACTGGGATCCTGCCCACATCCCTGGAACTTTCTTTGCCCTCCTCACGCTGGTCGTGCTGGGCGACGATCTGGAGAAAGTGAAGAGAAAGGAGATCCTGACATGGCTGGTCAAGATGCAACGACCAGAAGGCAGCTTTGGAGAGACTCTAGGCGATGGCGACTTTGTTCATGGCGGAAACGACTCTAGGTTCGGCTACATGGCAACAGCCATCCGGTGGATACTTCGAGGCGACTTAGAGGGTCCTTGCGAAGGTGTACCGGACATCGATGTTGACAAGTTTGTCAACTGTGTTCGACAAGCAGAGTGCTACGACGGAGGTATATCAGAAGCACCCTTCCATGAGGCACACGCTGGCTTCACCTGCTGCGCCATCGCTGCTTTGCATTTCGTGGGTCGTCTGCCTTTACCACCATCCCAAAAACCGGACGGTCTCATCCGTGGAGTGACCGACGTCCCTAAAACCCTGCACTGGCTCGTCTCACGGCAGACTTTGACGCTAGACGAGGACGATGGTTTAGATACTTTGAACGACGAGACAGATACATCAGAAACGTGTCATGACGCGCATACTTTTGTCAAGTTGAGCTCCCGCCCGTCTGCACAAGCAAAATCAAATCTGAAAGGACGACCCCACATTCATTTTGAATTGGAGTGGGTGGGAGTGAATGGTAGATGCAACAAGGTAGCAGATACATGCTACGCCTACTGGACCTCGACGCCCCTACAACTTCTTGGTCATTTGGATATCATCGATCGGCAACCCATCAGAAAATGGTTGTTGGACAAAACGCAGCATCTCGTTGGGGGTTTTGGCAAGGTCACAGGAGATCCACCGGACATGTATCACTCTTTCCTGGGCCTCATGGTCTTGGCTATGTTTGGAGAGACTGGTCTTCAGGACGTTGACTCAGCGCTATGTATAACACACAAGGCAAAGAGACACCTGGAGTCGCTGTCGTGGAGGAGGAAGATCCTCGGCATGGACAGCCCGCACAATGGCACCCAAGCTCCGTCACAAGAGAGCATAGGCCTAACCGGCGATAAGACGCAGATAGATGCATAGATTGGTGGAAGTTGTAACGAGTAGCGCACATCGCTATTGAATATTGCACCAAACCTTACCGATCTTTATGATCCTTGAGACCATGATTTCCACTCCCTAGTCTCTTGGGAATGCAATCAGACATTAAGATCATGTCTTGATGTATCACAATCTTTGGTCCATGGTAATCCCTACACGGTGTAGCGCCAAAGTACCTCGGCCCCACCTAAATTCCCAAGATCCCTGCTCGCCCAGGTAATTTTCCTAAACTCCAACATCTGCTTTGCGAACATCTAGCAACAGCACCAGCCATACCACACCCCGCCCTACACTCAACATTACACTCTGCACACCCTGTAACTATGAGGAATTCGGCGCCACCATCAAAGAAACGCAAAATTGCGGTCACAGCCCCCGAAAAGATCGAGTTTGACTTCTCGGCGCGCGAAGAATATCTCACAGGCTTCCACAAGCGCAAACTTGCACGGATAAAGCATGCACAAGAGGAGAATGCCAAGAGAGAGAAAGAGGAAAAGCTGAGGTTCAGGCGTGAGGTACGCGAAGCTCCGATTCCATCTTCACCCAAAGTTACCGGATAGCAAGATCTATGCTATCGCATGCGCATACGTCCCAGACATTCATCCAATATTGAAGCTAACAAAAAGTTGAACTACAGCTCCGAGAACAGCGCAAAGTTGACCTAGAGAAACACGTCGAAGAAGTAAACCGACTCGTCAAACAAGCAAATGGGGATCTGGACGACATCATTGCGGGCGAGACATCCGGCGACGACGATGACGAGGAAGAATTCACAGGCTTCCAAGAACCCGAACCCATCAACCAGGAAGACGAGTACGTCGACGAAGACAAATACACAACCGTCACCATAGAAAGCGTAGGAATATCTAAAGCAGGCTTCTCGAGACCAGGAGAGGAGGACGAAGAGGCGGCGGCGAAGAGAAAGGCAGAAGAGGAAAGGAAAAAGGCGGAGGAGGAGGCAGCGAGCAAGAAAAAGGTATGGACAAAGGCGTGGCCGAAGAATAGCGAGAGGCCAAAGAAGAAGAAGAAGTTTAGGTATGAAACCAAGACGGAGAGAAAGGCCGAGCGCATGAAGCAAGGCTTGAAGAAGAGGAAGCAGAAGGAGGCCAGGACGGCGAAGTAAACGGGCGGGGAATGCTTGGGAGTTGTGAAGCTACACAAGTTGAGATAATGATACCCCTTCATGAATGTCACAGCCGACATGGCGCATGCCGGCGCGTTCGTATGTAGTGATGCTGCATTCATCTCAGACAGCCCTATTCCATTATAGCACTGTGGGTCGTTAATGGTACACCGCTTTTTGGTCAAGGTTGTCGAACCTAACAGTCACATGTGAGTAACAGTATAAACCAGTTCATGTCAGGAACCGCCAATATATTCGCTCAGGGATTATCTAAAGCGAACAAGCCCGCCCAGCAAGCAGCCGCAGGAAAGAAAACAGATATGTAGGGGTAAGGTAGGGGGTACGGGGGAATGTGATATAAAATCTGCCTCTTCTTCAAGCTCCGCCGCATGCCGCAGTATCATCCTCCACCACTACCATCGCCGTTCATGTTGTCGCACGCACTCGAAATCGGGATCCGCAGAGGGACGATATCGAAGCTCGACTCAGAACTCGACTAAATACAGTCAACAAGCAAAAAAGAGAGACGACAGCGAGATCAGATGTTACCGATCTCCTTGACGAAGTCGTCGAGCTCCTTCTTGGTGTCGGCGTATTTCTTGGCCATCTCTTCGTACTTGGTTTCCCACTGGTCGCGGGACTGCTCGAGGGCTTGTACTTTGCGTTCGTAGTGACCGGACTTGACGTCGGTTTGGCGGAGCCTGGGGGGTGACGTGTCAGTGGATGCAGATCAGGGGTAGTAGATAGTGGATAGGAGCAGCGGTAAACGCGGTGAAAGAAGAAAGGGAACGTACTTCTCGTTGAGCTCGCGGATCGTCCTGTCCGATTCCTCAGCTTCTTCCTCGAGAACTTGGATCTTGCGCTGGAGGCTCTCGGCTTGGGTGCCAGCCTGAGCACCTGCACCAGCTTCGTCCTTGTGGATCTTGACTTGCCCCTCAAGCTTCTCAACCTCGCTCTCGAGCACAGAGTTCTTGTGCGTCAGCGAGGTAATCTCCTGCTCCTTCTGTGTGGTCTCGGCTTCGAGGCGCTTGACAGTCGCCTTGAGCTCCTCGGCGCGGGCGCTGCTCTCATCCGCCTCAACGCGGAGAGCTTCCATGCGCTGTACAAAGGGTCAGGTCAGCGTCTACCTTGGTACAGCAGGTGTGCATTGTGGCGTCGGGTACAGCTGGGTACCAAAGAAAGGGGATTTGGCGGGGTATGCGTGGACTCACCTTCTTGATCTGATCCATAGCTGCTGGACGTGTGTAGGGCGGGGTAAAGAAGGGTGTCTGTGGTGTGTTTACAAGTGACGAGAGGCGGACAGCTGCAGGCTATGTAGGGATGTGAAGCGGCGCAGTGTCGAGAGTAGTTGGTGTCTGAGAATTGTCTCCTGCAAGCGGGTGTGCAAGCTGATAATGCGGGCAGGCGCTGCCGAAAGGGACTACCTCCTCCGCCCGGACCCTTTCCAAAGCCCAGACCCTCTTTCCCGCCGCCCTAGCAACCATTGGTAAACACAGGCGCATCGCCGACCCTCATCGCCATTACGAGATAGGAATAACCACGCCGCCCACGACTCGCTCAATGCAACCCCCATAATGACTACGCTCGCAGCAAACGACCAGGAGAACGCCGTCCGCCATCTGCACGCCGCCGCTGCAGGAAAGTCGCTCAATGCCGGCCTCAAGGGCTTCAACGCCAAAACACCCGGAAACAAAGCCCCCAAGACGCCATTCAAGATCCCTCTCAACGACGAAAATGCCGTCGGCAGAGCAGGAAACACCAAGGGCAAGGGCAATGACCTCTTTACCACCAAGACGGGCGGCAAGATAGACGCAAATGCCTTTGTTACGCCAGCCGGTACGACTAGAGACGACAGGCTGCGCAAACCGACAGCTGACGTGTTTAGGTCCACGAACTCGCGCGCCGCTGGGCATGAAGACGACCAACGCCAAGTCTAGGGCCTTCGCAACTCCAGCGCCTCTTTCTTCCGCTGGGAAGACACAGAAACTGAGCCCTCGCATGCGCCGACCCAAAGTCAAGATCCACCAGCCTGAAGTCGCCCAAGAGGACGAAGATGACGTGCCTGAGGTTGAATACATGCCCCCCAAGGAGATTCCGCTCCAAGATGACATGGACGAATTCCTTCCCAAGGACTGGACCATGCCCAAGATCACCAACCAGGACATGGTCCGCGGTATCTGGCAAGCCTACCACAACCCAATCGAGGACGACGGAAGGACCCGTGAGCAGCGCAAGTTTGAGGAGGAGATACAGCAGGGTCGAAAAAAGCGTGATGAGCAAATGGAGAAGGTGCTCGCTGCCCAGATGGCAAAGGACGATGCTGAGACAAAGGAATACTATGGTATCAAGGAGCCAAAGAAGGAGGCGCCCAAGGCACCCGCTGCGCTCAGGACGAGAACGACTGGACCATCGACTATGCGAGCCAGATCTGCAGCTGCCGCTCTCTCTCCGCCATCGAAGCCCAGCTATGCTGCTCCAACCGCAGCTGCAAAGTCGCGTGTGCCCACTGGACTAGTCGCAAGCCGGAAGGGAGCAAAGACTCCTACCCAGCTCACAGCATCTCGTCAAGCATCCGCTGCAGCAGCTTCCAAGAGCACCATCGGCTACGCTCAAGGCCGCGCCGGACGCGCTGCTCCAGCTGCTCGAAAGCCTCTCTCCAACGTTACCAAGCCAGCTCCTTTCTCCGCTGCTTCCCGACCTGCCTCCTCCACCCACATCCGCAGTGCGAGCACCAACACGGGTACCATGCGATCTCGTGGTCCCATGTCTCGTTGCAGCTCTACCGCCACCGACGCTACACTCGTCACACCTCCAGAGGAGGAGGAGGAGCCGCGCCGCACAGCCGAGGATGTTGAGCGTGAGCTGGAGCTATTGCTTCTCTCCCGCTCAGACGACGAGGACGATGATGCGTGGATGAATAGCTTCAACACCCAACTACATGGTGCGGATCCTCTCGAGGAAGATCATGAGAACTTCCAGCTCCAGCTCCCTGAAGGACTTTAGGTTCTGAACTGTGGATGAGCTCAAAAGTTCGGCATGAGCCCTTGAGTCATGTCCGTGGTTGTATTGTATTGGGTTTGGAGTACCGGTATTGGATACCTCTTGTTTATTCGTGAATGATTATCTGGGTCTGCGTGCTATCAGAATCGATTACCATGCGTAATACGTAGTATAACTGTACTTTGTACCGCTACACATATCACTGTCACTACTGCAAATCACTTCTCAAATCACTTCTCGAATCACGTACAACGACATGTCATCAAGGACAGTTGACTAACTGCTTGAAAAAGAGCATTTCATTAAGGCATACCCAACGACTACCAAGGAAGCGACCATGCGTTCAGTCCAACCAACGGTTTGCGCTTGCCTGTATCATGCATAGCATTGCTCTCCGCTCCATTCTTCGTTCATCCAGATCGTTCGTAGCGAAAAACTGCGGAAGACAAGAAAATGGAAAGCCCCTAATATCCACACAGCCCGGGCCGAAAATGCACGCTTCTGGAAATTCCCAGCAGAGAAACACCGTGAATGCGCCATGCTGCTAAAATCAAGAGACACTAATGTGATATGATGAAACGAATTTGAGCGTCGAGGACCGCCGCGTATACGAGTGTTCGTGATATAGTCGTGAAAGAGGACGCAATTTATGGATGCAGTGTGTGGTTGTGTAGATTAGATTTACTTTCTTCATCGCTGCGATGATGCGTGAAGTATTGTGTAGGGAAGTTGGGGTAAACCGCAGTACGCTGTGGACTAGGACTATGTGGAGATGACTTCGTCGACGGCGTACAGATTCTGGTTGAGAATCTTGTTCATGGTGAACATGTGAACGCGGTCCTGTTTGAAGACTGCGCGCATGGCGTCGTCGCATCGAATCTGGCGCTTGTCGGCCGGGTCTTGCAAGTCGCGCTCTTTGACGTACTCCCAAATCTTCTTGACGGTTTGTGGACGCGAGAGCTGTGTTTCGCCTAGGAGTTCAGAAAGGGCTGGGGAAAGAGCCATAGGTTTCTGGGCAGTGGTTAGCTCAATTCGAAATGGTGATATATAGTCACGGAGAATAACTTACGTGGAATCCACCTTTCCGGCTTGGGCTCTTCTTCTCGCCCCCACTCCCTGATGCGATGTCGCTGTCATCCTCGTCTTTGATGCGGGTAGAGCTCTTCTTCTTGGTTTTGGTCTTCTTTGGCGCAGGTGCCTTCCGCTTTGTATTCCCACCGCGTGTCGCCCTACCCATGCGCGCGTTCTCCTCAGCCTGTAATCTCGCCGCGAAAGCTGCATCGTCATCCTCGTCTTTGACTTTGGTTTTCTTAACCTTCTTCTTGGGAGGTGCAACATCTTCAACCTCAGAGAGCACTGACTCGTCATCGCGCGGCGATCGCTTGTTGTGGGAGACGTCGGAGGTGTCGTCGTTGGAGGCCTTTGCGCCGTTCTCGACAGTAGGTATGGGTTCAGAAACCTCGGAGCCGCCGTTCTGCTCGTTGTTGAACTTGTCGAAGCGCTGCATAATGAGCGTGGTGATTTGCTCCTAGTTGTTCATGTCAGGTCATGCCGTCGTATGTCATGTCTAGCTTCAAACCTTCTGCTGCGAAAGGTCATCCTCGACTCTTTCCTGAAGACCCTTCCGTATGCGCTTTGCAGAAATGGTGTTGATGTCGCTGGCGCGTAGGATCTCGTCGATGATGACCGAGTAGGAAGCTTGCACTGCGGCGGGGAGGGGCTCTGCCGCGACACGTTAGAATATAAAGATACGCGTAGGAGGCTTCAAGTGAGTACCTACCTGCCATGGCTGCGATGTTTCCTTACTCCACAGCAAGAGCTCCCACAACTAGCGATGGCACGCTAGGGTAATGATCGCTGCGAGGACCACTCTCGAATCCACTAAGTACCGCGGAGCTCAGATCCAGCTCCGACCTCCGTGGTGGCTATGTCGTGCAAACAAACACAAGCTGGTACCAACGGCTTGGAACCAAAAGTGGGATGTGTGATGCAGGCGTAGGTGATGTATATCAAGTGTCGCGTATGGCGAGCGAGTGGCCAGTCTCTCACTTGGCGACTAGCAATAGTGGTTGCGGTATAACCTTCAAGAGGTGAGAGACAGCCAGCGAAGGTGCAGCCGAGTTGGGTCGGGCGCCTCAAAACGGTAGTTCCGACGTAGCGGGGTCCAGTCAGCGAGAAGCGACGCCAAATTGTGTCGGAAGGGACTCAAAGGTAGAGAAAGATGGCAGGGCAAGTTGGGCGCTGTCGCGGAGATGAACGGGGCAAGAGAACAGGCACTAAGGTTCATGGATGGTTGCAGTATGCGCGACGAGATGTGAAGTTGAATGCACGGGCGCGGTCTAGCTCCAGGTACGGCGCCGACCATGGAGGCTGGGGAACCACGACCATCTCCGTAGTTCGACCCGACAAGAAAACCGAACAAGCCACTCTTGTCCGTCTTCTCCAAGTCATACAAGCACGCACAAATGTCAAAGCCATGTTTTCTGTTCGTGCATCGCATCGTCTGCACCACCGGCGGGCTGCATACTCGCCGAAAGCGGTAATCTACGTATGCCACTAGTTGGGGATCCAACAGCCTCGTTTTCCAATCGTTCCAGTCGACGTCATTTGGACGATCTTGAACCTCTTCACATGACCAGACACCCCACTCCGTACATCTGCTTCTCCACAGCACTCTTGATCTGGTACCAATCCGCTCTTCGTTCTGCAAACTCGTATACTTCCTCTGCTCGAAATATCCCATGATATCGATCCGTGTCTGCGATAATCGTAGCAATCTCCTTAGCTTCCTTTGCGTCGATGAGATATATCTGAGAGAGTTCGCGAAGCGCGGCGAAGTATTGCATGAGAGGCTTGTTGCGTAGTGAGACGATGTAAGCATTGTAAGCGTTCATGTCGCTGTCCAAGTCGATTAGTGCCTGTAGGTCTTATAGAGTATGTGTCGTACCTGATGAGTTTGATAGCGCCATCCACACTAACTCTCTGGCGTTTCAAGTGCTTGCAGAGAGCAGTGAACAAGCGCACACCCACTTCTTGATTGAAAACATCCAGGACATTCTTGTCCGTGCTACCGATGAGCATGTTTGTATGTGACGACACCACCTCCACAATCTTTGTAGCCGTCTGGCTAGGTCCGATATCAGACATCTGCACCTGGCCATTGGGTCCAACAGGGGGATTGAAGTCGGACGGGTGTTGAGTAGTACCACAGAGATACTCCACTTCGTCCATTAGCACATCAATACCCTTGTTGAGACCTGCAGCAACCCGTTCATCCAACATGGCTTCGAACCGCTTTTTCTCCTTGGCAGCAAGACTGAGGAAGTCGTCGCGGTCCGTGAGGTTAGCTGCGACAAGCTCCTGGAGGTAGAATACTTCTACCATCTGCTGGATCAAGTCGCCAACGTTGACAAGCTCCAAGAAGGCTACTAGCGGTGCAACACCCTCTTTACTATGATCCGCTACCTCTCGCGGCTTGTAGTCAGCTAAATGGCTGACAGCCTTATCAAAGCCCAATTTCATATGACGGTTGCCTAGGATCTGGACAAGGTTGATGAAGATCTGCTCAGATTGCTCCTTTGCCTCTTCACCAGACTGACCACCAAGTCTCACAAATCGTGCAGCTCGTTCTAATCCAGACTTAGCCATGTGTGTCAGATTCAGAGCCACCTCAATGCTAAAAAGCGATCGGATGCCTTCCAGCCGAGAATTCATGATTGCTGCTTTGGCGGCAAGCTCGGTCGTCGGAGCTTCGATTCGCGGTGTAGGCGACCGATCGCCCGGAGCTGGGGTACCAATCCTTGAGGTCGGCTCCAGAGTAGTACTGCCATTCACTCCAGACATGTTTTCGGAGGGCTTGCTAGCACTCGACCCGCCAATAGTGGGGAGTACATTGACAGGCATCATGACCACCTTCTTGAACGACGACAAAAAGTCCTGTTTGACAGCTTTCCGGTTGACGTTCGCCATATACAGAGTTTCCGTGCTTTGCTCTTCCTCCATCAGCCGCTTCTCCCAAAGGTCGACCTCTGCAGCCGATTTTCGTTTAAAATAATCTAGTTCCTCCTGTAGATAAAGGTCGATGTGCTGCTCGAAGCAACGAGACACAATGCGCATTGCCTCTTCCCCAAAATCTGGCTTGGATGCTTTGGTAGGATGCAAGGAAACTGCTAGTTGCAATGCTTGCTCATAAACCCCCGCAACCGCTTTGAGATACGCTTCAATGCTTATATCGTGAGCCTCGTCGAACAAAGTTGTGATGTATTCGGCAATGACATCGTCCGCAACACGCTCGAAAAAGGTTTGCAGTACGTCGACCGCAGGAGGGAAGACACGGTCGATGATGCCCGCTTCTTCGTTGAGTGCACTCGCCAATCCTCTGAAGAACTCATGAGATGGTTCCAGCGTCAGAACCTCGTTGCGGAGGCAATCTGCAGGGTCACCGAGCTTCTCCTTTTCCAACATCAATGGGTGGTTGTGAATAAAAGAGTCTAAACATGCCGCGCCTCCGTTCAGAGCCACCAACACTGTAGCAAGTCTCTTCATACGTCCATCGAAGTCTTTCTCTGCATAGCCTTGCTCGAATTCTCTGAGCACAGCGTTTTCAAAAATGCCAGTCATGGTGTCTAGCTTCTCCTCCCGCTGACTCCAACCTTGTGCGTAATCGCTCTTTGCAAAAATCTTGAGCTGCGCCAGCATTTGAGCCTGTTGTTCGGGATCGCGATAAGCCCGAAAGAGTACAGGATCCGTGTGGCTTCTTGACCGCTCCAAGTCATAATAAAATGGGGCCAGTGCGCCGTAGACCTTCCCATACTCTTGTCGTGCCATGCCTCTAATAGAACGCACATTTGACAGAACTTTCACAGCCGCCTGCGGGTCTACAGTGTACGAGCTTGGGGCCAACGTTCCGGAAGATGACAGGGTCATGTCATTGAAGCCCTTGTCCAATGTAGTAGATCGTGGTCTATTTCTGTGTTCTTGCGACTTCCGCAGCATGTCCTCCTCTATTGTGGCATCAAAAAGCGTCATGCTTGTCTTTCCGGGTATACCGTCACCTGGGGGCATCCCGTTGGTGCTACCGTTGAGCGCAACGCCAGATCTACGGGCCTCCTCTGCTCTTTGTGCCTCTAGTTTCTTGCGCATCGATTCATCAAATCTACGCTTTGCTTCGGCCTCATTCCAGCAGCCCATGCTTCTAAGTCTTTGTATCCACCTGGTGTCATCGTACACCATCTCGCGCATGCGTCTCGAGGTGCGTGCGAAGCTGAACATATCGGCGACAGGTAGGTAATCGAGGATGGCATTGATGAGCTCTGTGCTATCCAGTCAGACACACGATACCACACAGCACTGAGTTCATACCGGCTGGTAGTACAGCTTTCGAATCGTCGTTGACCAACTGCGTGGTTCTTAAAGACGCGAGGACGGACTGCTGCGTCTGGGGCACAGCCCGCTTGAAGTTGGACTTGGTTGTCATGGTTTGGATATTACGGTAACGACTGTGTTGGTTGTGTACGAGTGAGTGTATTTCCCATCATCGGGGTTCAGTGATGCTTCGCGTTGTTGCTGCGGGGCGAGGGCTATTCGAAGGGTGGAGCAATGACCGCTGGCGTTTGGCGGCAGGGTCTCGTAGATCTAACATGTCGCAACGATTGATCGCCCGGCAGCTAGAATCTGTCTACAACAACATGACGTAAACAAGTCGAAAATGAATCTATTCACTGCAGAGCTCTCAACTCTGCATGTTGAGAAGACCTTGGTGAGAGGCATAGCTGCACTTCATGACCTGGAGCATGGGCGCGCACGCGATCTCGAACCGGAGCGCAAAACAACACGTTGAAGGCATGGAAGAGACTAGGAGTCGGCTGCAGCCACCACCGCAGTAAGACCTGAGGATGCATAATTCTATGGAGATGGTCTGATAGGCAAGTAAAGCCGTCGAGATGGAGCTTCTCCTGAGGCGAGGCTCAGTGCACATGTGCAGTCAGCGGTTGTGTCAACCTGAACTGTGTATGCTTTGAACAGCACTCTGTCTCGTCGTATGTATGGCGGCCGTGCGCGTATAGGATGAGTTGCGCGATTTACGAGATGGGTGTCTCCGCGAATAGACATCAAGCTCTCTAATGTTTAACACTCAACATGCCTGGCTACAAGCGCAACGCAAATCATGAGTTACAGCCAAGCTGGCTGCCTCCTGGTCTGGAATTACTCAAACAGACTCAAAGTCTCCCCAGCCAAGCCTTCCGTAGTTGAGATCGTCGCAGATCTTGTTGCTATTGTAGGACAAGGCGCGCGTGGTACCCGAAAGGTTATAGCCCCTAGGCTTGGAGGACTACCACCACTGCACCGTCCTTTGTGCTCGACTCAGACTTTGTGAGCTCTGGCAGTGCAGCCGAGATGCTGAGTGGCAATCTGGGAGGACCTCGGAGGCTCTGTCCGTAACTTGGTATTACTTGCACGCAGAGGCGAAGAGGTCCTTCAGCAGGCAAAAGACGTCCTGCTTTCAGGGGCACTGCAGGGCGACCTGTAGGGCTTTCCCAGACATATTGCAACAGCAACTGAGTGGTTGAAGACTGTGTGTGCTGATTATTGGTGAAGGGCATCGGGGCGCAGTCGGCCAGTGAGGCAGTCGGGCACACTGGGAGGGCGCGCGACGGTCGCGACCACGGGCGACGCGACGACGCGTAAAGTTCCCTGTCTTGGGCTCGACCACTTGTGCAGTCTGTCATCCGCAAAAGGGATGAAACGGAGACCCTGGCTGGCTGTCTCTCTGGCTGACGAAGGCTCT